TCTCAGCCATGTGCTAAATATATAGCTTTGTATTTAGTAAAGAATTATTTAACTAGGATGTGAGAAACTTTTTTAGATATAAAACACCCTTGCTTGTTATTTGCACCCAATTAAAAAAGTATATTGTAGTTAGCATTGGCATTTCAATCAATTTCAATCCAAACGGTGTAAGATATCTGCTCTGAAAATTAAAAAAAATATATATCATTCTCCTTAAAAGGTTTATAACACTTCGAGCTCAAAATCTAAAACATTGTTAAACTATAAACTACAGACAAGAAGTTTATTACTCCAAGGAAATTTAAGTATTTATTTGAAAATATGCATATGAAAACTCAATACCAGCTATTATAGTAATAGATTAATTTAATGTAATAGAAGAGTATAAGCCTTAATCAACAAAGTCTCACAGGATAGTACGCAATAGGAACTCCTTGTCCCTTGTTATGTATCCACGACTCTTTGCGCTGTAACACACCTTGTTCCAAAGCCAATCCCTAAAACCCGATGTACATGGAAGAAGTCCTTCCGCACCCACTCCCCTTTCCATCGGCGAGCCATTTTTCGCGCCCCACATGTTGCCCTTTTCTAACCACATTATGTCCTTTGATGGCACACAGGACTTCAAGGTGCGATGAATGGCTACGGGGATGATCCGCGGTCGTTAAAAGGGCGCGTCTCCCATTAAGACCTCGAAACTCGCATAACTAAATGTCAGCCAAAGTGGGATTGGCTTGAGACACGTAGATATAGTCCAGACATTTCGACTAAGAAGTCTATTATCCCTAATTAAAAAAAAGTAGACTCTTTGATTTTCCTCAAGATGTATTTTGATATTTAAATATGTATATTATAACAATATTATTGTACAAATAAAATATTATTTTAAACTCACGAGTTAAACTAAAAACCCATAATAAAGACAGTATGTGTACAAACATATCGGAACACTGGGCGTGCTCAAGTCGCCGACCATTGGTCAGTCGAAGACTCCTATATACAGATGGCATTACATAACAAAACGATCCAAAACGGCGGGGCCAACCCATCCGCAGCCGCATCCGCCTTTTGTCTTGCCATACATTAAAATCTAGGTGAGGGTGTGTTGGCCGTTGAACAAAATTTAGTATCAATGAGCATGCCGGCCTGCCATTTGGATTGTATGGTTAATTTAAATGCAACTGTTTAATTAAATTCAGCTCCACCCGCAACGATTTGTTTGCACATAATTAAGTCAACTAATTGGATGCCAGTTTTAGTATCAATTAGTTTCAAGTCGTGACTTTATGCCTAATATATTGATTTAACATCTTAAGCTACGCCAAAACAGGTGGTTCCTCTGATTCTTTTGATTCTGGTTTGATTTGCGGCTGTCCCAGCGACATAGGTAAACGATCGCCCCACCGACTTACTTTTGCACAGGAATAGGCAGACCTGCAAAGAAAATACAATTACTTAAGAGGAGTTCAAAAGGCATTAGTGGTTTTACTTACTTTCCATGCTTGGACTTCGTGAAGATGACCTCTTGGAGATTTCCCTTCTCTGTGCAAAGGCGACAGATGGCATGCTTTGACCTAACCAAGGTAGGACGCACAATGCGCGGCCAGGAGCTCGAGCTATCGGATTGTGAACCCTTTTTCAGGATGGCATAGCTGTAGAGGGAGGTGTGGCGGTCCGCCAAGGAGTCGCTACCCAAACGCAGAGGAACGTAGGAGATGGGAAAATTGCAGGGCGTTCGATCGGCCAGATCGCGAAGTCGTGGACAGATCGTGTCATGCGGACACTTAAAGTATATATAAGTCAGATTATCACCTCTACATCTCGAATACGTTGAAACTTACCGGTGCCACAGTGTGACCTTCTTGTTCCTGTTCCAACAAAAATTGCCTAGCCTCGTTGACTAGCTCGCTGCCGCGCCGCGTTCCCTCCTCCACAATGACCATGTAGCCATCGCACTTCCGCCACAGATTCCGCAGAACATCCTCCCGTTGCTCTTTGTTCTCCAACTCAAAAAGCGTATGGGAAATAATGACCAGATCATAATTGGTTTCGATGGCGGGAAGGAACTGTCGATAAAATACATTTCGCAGGGATATTTGCTTGTTCTCATGGCCATCGCGCAAAATGAGTTCAGATATCTCATTCATCTCCCTGGACCTGTCCACGTTGTAGTACTCGAAAATGTGTTCGCGCCACAGTTCGCTGGCCACCCACATGCCAGTTCCAATGCCGGATCCGAAATCAAAGTAGCTTCGCGGCCGAAACAGTTCATCCCGCTGCGCCAGCTCCGTGAGGATGCGCTTCAACACGGCATACTCCTGGGCACCACGAGCTATTGCGTACACAAGAGACTCATATACGCCATAATCGATTCGCTTCCAGGCGTAGATACGCTGGCCCAGCCTCTTGTTGATCTCCAGATCCCGCTTGCGCCTCCAGCGTTCAGCCTCGTCTTCGTCGAGTGTAGCTAGGCGATCCAGAGGCATCTTCGCGTTGACCTCTTCGATAATGATCCGTTTCTTATTCTCAATCTCATCCTGCGTGGGCGGCGGATGGCGGGATTTAATATAGGCGTTGAGCTGCTGGCCATCATGGAGTAGTTTTTTGATGGGATGATCCCCCGCTATGCGCTTTAGAGTGTCATTCAAATGTTTTGGCAGCTCCACATGATTGGGCCTCACTACACCGGGATGTTTCCTGGGTTTCAGGGTGGCATGTTCCAGGGCAGAGATCACAGCTGGCTCCAAATCCACGGCAATCTTGCTGGTGAATCGGTGCAGTCGTGGCACTAGATTTCTCGTTGTGAAATTCAGTGAAAAATTCATATTAAATTCTAATTAGTCTATTAATATGTAACCGAGAAATCAAAACAAATGAAAGCCACACGAGTTTACCGGCGATTTTCCAGTGCTGTAAAAGTTCCAAGCCAATCAGCTGACGGTGCTGCCAGACGTTGTGCTTTAGCACAGTTGCGGTTATATAAATAGCATATTTTTCCAGCTTATATTAACATTTACTACAATTCTTATAATACTTATGTTTTATTAGGCTACACGTAAATTTAAAATTATTTAACGTACAGCATACATATAAATTAAAAATCTTAATTTGCAAAATGTCAAGAAAACGAATCCGGATTAAACGAAATGGGTGCTATAACCTTCCCCTCCACTGTGTCCTTGCATCTTTTTGAAAATCCGAAAACAAAACTTGGCATCAGCACAATGTTGTAACTAAAAAATTTAAAAAATAATGGAAGAATACGAAGCACAAGTGAGCAAAGGTGATACCATAAGGTCCCAACTATTTTTATGAAAATATTTGCATCAAACAGTTGCTCGTTGTGGAGCAGGCATTGGAAAATGCCGCGGATGAGGCGCAACGACAGGATCTTTTGGCCCTTAAAAACAATCTGCAGGAGCTATTGGCCCTCACGCGGGACACGGAAGATGGTGCACCAACCGATGAATTACCTCAGCAAGGTGACGACCTGGACGACGAGCTGCAGCGGCTAAGAAGCGAACTTAATGATCTAGAGGCGGCAGGCTCCTCACAAACCGCGTTGGATGAAGAACGGCAGTTGGCTGATTTGCGAACCAAGTACACTGCCATGGTGGGCGAGAAGTGCTCCGCTCCACACGAGCACAGTTGGGGCACGTGCTACCACAATGCCCTCATCTGCGGAGTGGACGACGAGGTGGTTATGAGCAGCGAAGGCGTCTTGGATGCTCGACTAAGGGTTCTCTTTACAAATCCCACGCATCGAGAAATGCTGCCCTGCTCCTATTACCTCGAAGGCGAGTGCCGCTTTGATGAAACCAAGTGCCGATTTTCCCATGGCGCCCTTGTCACCGGTAGCTCTATTAGAAAATATAATCCACCAGATTTCCACAAACTCTGCCGCAGTCGTCCCGTTTTTGCCCTTCTACCGGATCGATTGTGGCATCGAGGTCGTGTCCTTTGTGTAAATTTCGTAGAGCAGGTATGCCGCGTGCGTTTGGATGGGCAGGATCACAAGGAGCGGGAACGTGACTTCAAGTTCGAAGAACTGTATCCACTGACCACCGACCAGGAAGAGGATGACGAGCTCTCCAGCGAAGAGAGCAACTCCAGCATGAACAACGAAAGCAGTGACGAGGCGGAGTCCGATATGGATGATCTGGAAGAAGCTAGAAGAGCCCGCATGGTTGAGTTGAGTTTATTTACCTTTAAACCGACGGAACGGCTGGGCGCCTGGGAAGAGTTTACACGGGTAAGTTGAACAGATTACGATTCAGGAACTTGGATCCCTCTAAATACAATCCCACACAGGGCATCGGCTCCAAGCTTATGGAGAAAATGGGTTACATCCATGGTACCGGTCTCGGTTCAGATGGAAGGGGAATTGTTACCCCGGTAAGCGCCCAGATACTTCCCCAGGGTCGATCTCTAGATGCTTGCATGGAGCTACGTGAGGCTGCCAACGGGGACAAGGATTATTTTAGCGTGGAACGAAAGCTAAAGCGTGCCCAGCGTCGCCAGCGAAAAGCGGATGAGAAGGCATACGTCCGTGAGTCGCAACGTGTGGATGTCTTTACATTTTTAAACGACAGTGTTTTGGCGCCTGGAGAAAGCAGCCAGCAAGGCGAGCAGGTGGCCAAGAAGGTTAAGACCAACGAGCTGCAGCAGCACTCAACCAAAACTCTTAACGTGGAAACAGTGCGAATTGCTGATGAAATCCGCCGAAAGCAAAGGGATATGGCCAAGGTGAAACAGTCCCTGGACCGCAATTCTGGAGATGCACAGCTTCAGAAGCGACTACAAGTGCAGATGCAAAGCCACAAACAGGAACTGGCCACGCTGCAGGCACAAGAACGCAGTTTAAGCAAGGAACAGCAGACCCGTAAGAGCAAGAATAAAATGTTTGAGTTTTAAAAATAGATGTTTTAAACAATTAAATGTGGGTAACGTGGGTGTAGAGTATCCAAAAAAATTGTTTTGTACATAATTTTAAATTCCAATATTTATTATTCTAGACACATAAAATATGTTAAAATTATTGTTTACGAAAATCCTATTTATCTACGCACAATTAAATACTACCGAGGGATCCCGCCGTAATTATGGCCGTCATGTACTGCTCAAGTAGCGCCTGCGCCAAATGAGCCCCGTGCTCCACCGCCAGCGAATATGCGGTGTCTCCGTCCTCATTGGTGGTACTAAGATCCAGATCCTTGGCCAGAAGCTCGTTGCAAGTATGAGGATGATTGCCCGCTGCTGCGTACATAAGCGCCGTGCTCCCAACGATGTCCATGTGGCCCGAGTCCGCGCCGTGTTCCAGCAAGAAGCGGACGATTTCGTTATGCCCACCGGCGGCAGCTAGTAGTAGAGGGCTAATCAGATCTGGGGCCATTTCGTTCACATTGGCACCAGCCGCGACTAGAAGCTGCACGGAAACCAGTTGCCCGTAGGAAGCTGCCCAATGGAGGGCCGTGAAGCCATGTTCATCCTTGTAATCAATGTCCTGCTGACGCGCTCTTTCAGCTGCTACCTGCTCCTCCGTAATCTCGCCTTGGCCAGCGCGCTCGTGAAAGGAAAGCGAAACTTCAACGGGGCAAAAGGTGGCCTCCGTGTTGCCGCGCTGCAAGTTGGTCAACACGGTGGACTGGGGGCGGTACGGCAGGAAGGCGCTCTTCCGCTTGGCGTCCAGCACCAGCATGGAGGTGGGTGCCGACCGCACGCCCTCATCTTCATCGGAATTCGCGTTATTTTGGAGTGTGTTAGCTGGTGCCACCATTTGTTTTGATTTTGTTCACCTTTTATACCCTCTACTTGAAGGCTAACGAGGGTATAGTAGCACAAGCTAAATTAAGTTGAAGATAATAGAATGCCTTCTGCATATAAAAGTTATCAATATTAAAATAACAATTATTTTTTCCTAAAATGTCTCTTTTATTTAACCAATAAAAAAAGATTTATTTTACTACTACATTTACTAGTATACCAGGGCATCACATAACCGGTGCACTAATCATCTAGTTGCTATAGTTTTTTCTGTGACGCGGTAAAGACAAATTGTAAACGGCATTAATTTGCAGCTCCAGCACGGTCACACTCGATTGGTTTGTTTTTATTTTCTCGTTTCAAAGCTTAATTTGCGTTTAATTATGTAAATATATTTACCCGATTTGTTAGCGCTGTGTTTGTGTGTTTCATAACAGGTCTTGCGACGCGGCGCAGTTGATTTTTTGGCCAATACTTTCCTGCACCTGTTGCGCCTCGCCAATTTGTTTTCAGTGCAAACCTGCGTTTGGCTTTTTTATGCCCTTTCGTTGTACGTTTCCACTGCCCCAAATTAATTGCGTCGAAACATCACCAAGATGGGCAACACGAGTTCCAAGGGCGAGTCGGACGCCAGTGAGCCACCCCTGGACGGGGGAAAGCCGCACAAGCAGCATCAGCAGCACAAGTCCAGCGATGCATCCCACAACGGAGTCTCTGACGTGGGCGGCAGCCACAATAGCCTGAAGGTGACGCAGGCGCAGGGCTCGATGACCAGGTCGGCATCTGGGGCGGATGTCACCGAGAAGTACCTCACCCAGCTGGTGCCAGTGGAGAAGCTGGCCGAGATCCTCAGGGAGCAGACGTCGTCCAAACTGGGCATTAATGGCATTGTGGCAGATGTCTTTGTGGTGAGTAATTAACTGATAACACCGAGTTCACAAATAAAAAAACAACACCTCTTTCGTTAGTCACAAGTATTTCCGCAGTACGCCGACCTGGGACACCGGCTGTTCAACCTGATGCACTCCAACTCCAAAGCCACAACAAAGCATCTTGGCGCTGTAGCTTTTCGGCAGCAGTGCGAACGCTTTTTAGGCATCATGGATGACGCAAAGACGCTGGAGTGTTACATCAAGATGTACGCCCAGGAAGAGAATCCGGACCAAATCGACAAGACGGGAGTGACGCGATTGCTCCACATCTGCTACACCATTGCCATGCAGCACTCGGGCAACGCTGTGCTGTGCCCGGCCATCAACCGCACGTTCGGTTCGGTGACCAAGTCCATTTTCCTGTGCCACGACAGTATGAGTTTGGGTTATGTTTGCCGCTGGTTTGAGCAGAACCTGATGCGGTTGGTGCTCCTCGTGCACAAGTATTGTGTGCACACTTTGTCAACCGCTTATCGTGGTCTAGAGCAGCAGAACCAGTCCTGCGGCATTGAGTTGCAGACTCCCGTGCTTGAGCAACGCAATCCCTTCACAGATGCCACCGACCACAGTGGTGGTGGCGGAAGGGACGAGGACTCCCTGATGCCGCTCTCGCAAGCCTGGCTGCTTGCTGGAGCTCTGCCGCCACTCTACTCCAAGCCACAAACTGTAACTCCGCCGGCAACCAAGGGAAACAACAACGTCAGCGCCTCCACAGCGGTACAGATTTTCAAGGATAAACTGTCGATGATGCCGTCACACTGGACACTGCTGTACAACTCCAATGAGCACGGCGTGGGCGCCAACCGCTTTCTGCACCACGTCCTCGGCTACCGAGGTCCAACACTGGTTCTGCTGCACACCAAGGATGGACAAACATATTGCGTGGCCTCACCCAGTGAGTGGAAGGAAACGCATCTGTTCGTGGGCGGCGAGGGCAGCTGTGTTATCCAGCTTCTGCCCAAGTGGGTAGCGAAATGGTGGAGATTTACAATCCTTATTAATGGAATTTTTTAAAGGTTTGTGATACTGGAAAAAAAGCCCAACATTCTTTACCTTAACACCAGCATACGCGGCTATCCGAAGGGATTACGTGCCGGCGCTGATCCGCGAAAACCCATTATAGCAGTCGATGAGCATTTCGAGAATATGGACTGCAAGGGACTGGCGGCTGGACTTATGTCCATAGAGGTAAAAAAAAAACACGCACCCTTAGCAGACCCGCTTTCTTTCCAACACATTTGATGAAGAAAGTAACCGAAAAGTAAACGGGTTCCATTTTATACATCATTTGAAAAACCCACTAATAGAAAAAGTGAATCATTCAAACCAAAGTAAGCTACGCAGTCAACATCTCGAATATTTTCTGTACTTTAATCGCATTCATGTACAATAAGCCTTACTCAACAGGGTATATGTTATATATGTGTATATGCATATATGGTATATAGTGTAAAATTCATAGACGTATATCGTTATAAACGGCATAATCTCCAGTCTAAGCTGTTAAAAACAGCACACTTATGGCTCCAAATGGCCAGGTGTGCTCTAGCGATGTATTTAAACTAAGTCTACGATTCTCCTTACCCAACAACAGTCAACCAACAACAAGAACTACACGTTGCTCCCCATCTTCTATTCGATCTTATCCGCAGGTGTGGGGCTGCGGCGACAAAACATCACGCGAAGTGCAATTGGACATCAAGAAGTGGCAGATCAAGGAGGCCGAGCGACAGCGGACAGTGAAGCTGACAGCCGCCGACTGGATGGACCATCCGGATCGATATCTCCTCGAGCTGGGCGGCAGGCAAAACTACAACAATTAATCGCGGCTGCTGCGCGTATATGTATTCTAAAAGCAATGGGCATGCCATGCCCGTTTTGAGGGGCGTGCAACGTCGAAATTTACTGGGATTTGCTATAGTTATGCACTCGCAGCACGAGAAGTAATCACTGGACTGAATTTGTTTTTAATTGATGTTGATTGATATTCGGTTTACTTGTTTTCTTTCTATTATCAGTGTTTAGTATTCGATTTGATTTATGTTCGTAACGTGAATTCCGTGAATGCCTTTAAATGTACTTCGGTCTACCGTGTATCCATGTATATGTCAGACATTGTCTACGTTTTTGTCAGTTTTTTCCTTTAGGTTTTCTGTTTTGTTCTTTATCCTTGTTCAAATGTAAAAAGCAAGTATTATGAAAAGACATAGGATTCGAAGTGCTTAAACAAATATTTCAATAAATGTTACAAATAAAATGAATCACTATTCTCTACTTGCTAGCGTGGAATGCAGAACTCATCATCATTTTATCTCATATCATCAAACTAGATGAATCTAAATCATAGTATAAAACCATTTTATCCTAGAAACTCGTAATAAAATTAGGGGATTAATGAGCAACAAAATGTTAATTTCTCATCACATATACAACGTGTGTCAACAAAGAATACATAAACAAAAGTTTTGGTACCAAAAAATGGAATGATATGCAATGTTAGTACACAGATGGGTGCAGTAGCATGTAAATAATAAAAATAGTAAAAGATAAAAACATAAAAGGCGGTTTCGATAAATTTTCCAATATTATATTATTGATGTGTATATTAGTTTTACAATAAGAACTTCTATTTAAATACAAGTTACGCCCTTTTCTGACCGGCGGCAGTCACAAAATTCACAATCGGTTCAGGCATATTTTTAATTAACTACTTCGCCACACAAAAGTTGGAGACCTAACTATGCGGGGCCACCTAGCAGGGATGTATTGAGTAAAAATATCGTTTCGGGAAGGTTTGTTTACACAATCAGCACATAAAAAGTACTTACAAAATATCTGACCCCTATTTAATGATTCTTTGGGCTAAGGGATGTGTGGATTTGCTTGTGCGCGCTATCGGGAAAAGCGATTACAGTGATGGCGATCTAAAATAAGTTGCTTTCGCGATGAAAACTAAGGCCACAATTCAAATGCCCCATTAAATGGGCCGTTAGAAAGTGTTCGTTTCATGAGTATTCTATGCCTCGCACAAATCAAGATATGGGGAAAACAATAAATATAAGCATAGCATATAATTGATGAAGGTTTTAAGGTCAGCGCGTCTAGGTGATGTACTCTCGATCGCGGCGCCGCCGCGTCGTGGAGGCAATAAAGACCACGGGTTGCACACCAGCACCGTCATCTTCAACGTCTCCATCCTCTTCGTCCACGTCTAAGTCACCGTCTTCAGCGTCATTATCCCCGCCCGTTGAGTTTGACCACTCGGACGCCGACTGGTTGCTGCCAGTGGCACTAAACTTGAGGCTGCTTGACATGCCAAACGAAACGGATAGCGAGGCGCTGAGTGACGAGGCATTCAACTGCTGGCTCACGTCCACACCATCCTCGTCCTCGAAAGCGTCGTCAATGTGCGGGTGCTGATGGTGCTGGTAGTGATATTGTTGGTAGCGGTGTCACCTGCCTGCGCCCGCACCCAACAGTAGGGCATAATCGTCGTTGGACTCGGGAATTGGCGCTGCTGCTGAGGCGGCTCCGGGGGGCAGGCGCAGGAAACTGCCACCGCCGCCAGCACCCGCACCCGAACCCGGATCCCTTTCACGCTCGCGAAGATGAAGTGTATCGCGTTGACGGGTCGGCGGCTGAGAGCCCGCCGCTCCCGGCAAGTGTAGTTGTTGTTGTTGGTAGTTGCTATTGCTACTGTTCCCATCGTCGGCAACGCCTGCTAAAGGAAATCGAGATTGGGAGTGAGTAGGTTGACTTTCGGGCAGTGTGTTCAGCTTGCCATCATACACAGGCACGATCAGGCGACTGGATGTTGCACCATACATGTTACCTGATTGCGACGAGTTGCCTGGCAGCTGCTGATCTTGCCGCTTGCTGATCAGATACTCGGACTCACTGCTGGAGCGACGAGGGCTGCGTGCCAGCGGCTGGTATGTGCTGCGTCCTTGGAAGCGACGACTCAGTGAACTGCCCACAACGCCCAGATGCTCGGTGACATCCTCCTGCATGTCGGATATGTCCATCATGGAGAGAAAAGCGCGACACCAGCTATGGTTCGGATTGTTCCAGTACTGCGGCGAGTTGATGTGGAAAGGGTGGTGCGGGAAGCTGTAGATGTGAGCCACGGCTGCTATAAACATTTCAATGCAGATAAGGAAGTTCTGGTGGGCGATAACAAAAATATACATTTTTTAAATGGTTGGAAACTTTCACTTTTGTATTGCCGATTTTGACAGGGAGAAAAATAGCTTTAAAAGTCTTTTAAACCGATTCTAGGATCCGGTTTGTATCAGTAATTTGTTTTCAGTTTAAATATTTTTAAAAAACATAATTTGGTATTTTACTTATGCATATACATTATTGGTCAGTTTTTATCAGCTTTTAAATAAACCACTCACCTGAAGCTGGGAAGCCAGGTTGGTGTCCCCCACATCCGATCCAAAGATGTCCTTAATAATGTTATAATATACGAGAACGTTGAGTAGCACTCCTTGGCTGCGGTGAAGTATAATATTCTTAGCCACTCTTACAAGCTTTAATTGAGTACTTACAAAAATGAGAAGAACACGACAGCTTTGATGCACAGAAATTTAGGAATAGGCTTCATTGGTTTCAGGTCCTCCTTGTTTGCACGGTAAAATAGCACCAGACAGTACATGGCCACGAACTGGGAGATGTTGTTGACCACCACAATGTAAGGGAAGGCCACGTTGCCCGCGAACTCGCCCTCGCCGTAGACGCCGCATAGCTCGCAGATGCTGCGAAATTCCAATTAGAGTTGGGTGTAATGCGTAAAGGACATCCCGACACTCACACAGAGATAAAGGTGGTGATAGGGCGCACCACCGTGTACTGGAGGATCCCGTGCTTGCAGTTGTGGATGAATTCACGACCCATCACCCACGGCCGCATGCAGCAGAGCGGAAAGAAGTGCGGCACCTGCGGCTTGTACTCCATTGTGGCCTCCAGGTCCATGCCGAGATTCAAGTAGTTGAGCAGGTACACCATGAAGTTGTAGATCACGTACGCCTCGTAGCACTCGCGCAGTGAGTCCACGTAGATGGAGTGCTTGGGAAAGAAAAGGCCGATCCACTGCAGGTGAATAGAGTATTAGATTTCTTGTGGTCTCCAATTCCGATTTCGATGCTGACATCTGTGCCCCACTTACCGCGTTTAAGGCGTAGATAGGCACCATCCACAATATGCGGATTATGTGTTTCTGCAGTATGGGCTTGGTAAAATGAATGACGTGTTGGATGATATGCCAAATGGATACGGGCACTGCGGACAGCACAAACAGTCCGCCGATGAGAATGAGCTGATCATTGCGCTGGAAGCCATCCTTTACGGAGTTCACAATGAGCAGCGGCACCACAATGATAGCGAAGATGACATAGGTGACAATGAGCAGCGGGCGTATCCAGATGCGCCACTCCTCGAAGAAGCGTCTTACGTCCAAGCTGCACATCTTGTCCTCTGAGGCGCTGCTTCGGAATGCTCCTTGAAATGTGTTCACCGGAGTACCTAGTATCAGGGTCTCTTTGATTCGTTGACGTCGACGCCGCCGCCCCGATTCTGTTTTCACTTGGCTTTACGCTTTCCTCCGCTCTGATCCGCTCTTCTCCGCCAGAAATTCTCTCACAGAAGATTACAGGACTCGGCGGTGGCACCCACGCTGGAGGCGCATTTTCAGAGATCTTCTGCTAGCAGAGCACTGGTTTCAAATCCACTGGTTTTGGTCCTATTGGTAATAATATCGCGGCTTTCTTGCCCTTCTTTTGTGAGGAATCCAATCTGTGGGTCGGGTGCCTACGTCTAATTGGTGTGACCAGCCTAAGTGAAATCCAAAATAACGAAAACTTACCAGATGAGCTCTAAGTTTTATAAATATTTTTTTTAATTTTACGGCTTCTTTGATTTGTTTTCTTTTTCAACGTTTAAAAGCTATCAGTAAATAAAATTTATCTACATTAAAAAACGAATGTCAAAAATTATTTTAATTTCCTTTGTCGCTGCCGAAAAAAATCAAATTTTTCCCTAGAGATAAGAAAGGGAAATTTCAAGGGTTGCAGAGTAAAATCAAAAATATACATATATTTTTGAGAAAGTTAAATCAAAACCGAAAATGAAAACATTTTTTTAAATATTGATTAATTTATAAAATGGCTTATTTACATTAGCTTTATAAAAAAGAAACAGTTCACGTAATATTACATGCATTTTATTCCTTTATTTCTTTAAAATATCAATTATGTACAATTAAGATAAGTTTGAATAATTTCTCTTGAAATGGGATAAAAGGATTTACATTTGTTTTGCTCAATAAGGAAGCTTGAAAGGGGTTATTGATTCAACAAACAAATATTCTTAGATTATTTGTTTTATTTGGATTTATGATGTCAGAATGTTCTCTTAACATTTATACGTTGATAATCTTAAGTGTTCCGTGTACGTCCAAGGCTGTCTTTTGGTTTACAGTACGGCGGAATCGCTCTTACACTATTTGCCTTGCCCCTGGTAGTCATTTTCATATACAGAATATCGGATTATGTTAAAAGTAATTAAATATTATTTGTAATATAAAAAACAGAAGTAGCCAATGCAGGCTAATTGTTGTGATGATGCAGAAAGAGAATAGCGTCGATATGACTGCCGGTGAGCATGAATCGCTTGTTGAAGTCGTATATTTGGTCTCGCAGAGCCTTCTTGAAGCTAAGTGTCACCACGCCGGGTACACTGTGATACAGACTAGCCAAATCGCGAAGCGTTCCATAAATGTGACCCATCTTGAGCCACCACTCAATGGGCGACTCATCCAGCTGGACGACCACCTCGTTGCGATATCGCTTAAGATCGGATTCCACACTGCTGTCCGCATCCCTTTTCGGAGGACTAGGTATCTCGTTACTGTCAAACAGCAGCTTCAGACCTACGGAAAGTTCTATTTACACCAAGGTTCAAATCTATTATTTTAGGTAGGTGTACTTACCCAACTTCTTTGGTGCACTGCCGTCAACTACTCTTGGTTCTGACTTAATAGCCACTGAGCTGGAGGTGGCTGCCACTTCGTTGGATTCCCCGTCTCCCACTAAACCAAAGTTCATGTTATACTTATGGGTCAGCATACGAACCGTTCGCTCAAGGTTGTCAATAGTGGTCAGGCGGTGGAAGCGCGGGTCCAACAGTGCAGCAGCGGTTAGATTGTCATTGGATATAACGTGGGCCTGGAGGACACTAGAAATGGTGCGTTTCACATTCATCATCAAGGGATCGTCCTGCTCGGCAATGCCCAACTTCTTGCTAAGAATCTTTGCGGTGATTGGCGAAAGCATGCTGCACAAGGGGATGTCTTCGCCACGCAGTGTGTCCAAAGCAATCTAAAAAGAGTTGACCCAATCAGAAGTGCTTAAAAGTTTCAGTTCTCTTGATGGCTTACCACCAGAGCACTTAATGCCTCCGTAACCGTCTTGGCTGATATCACCAGGTGATCCATGTCCTCGGACCACGAGATGGACTCGGCAAAGAACTTCAATGTTTCGTACAGTGTCCAGGGGAAGTGCTCGTTGTACGTGGGCATTGGCACCTCAGACACCTTGGATGCAATCTCCGATGAATGTCGCTGCATAAGTTCTTTCACCTGCTCCATTAACGTGGCCACCTCTTCGAGCTCAAAAACACGACGCAAACATTTGTCAATTACCGAAACGTAGCACAGCGCAATGGGGATATCTGCAAAGGAAACATTTTTATTAAAAGGCCGTCTTAAAAGTTACAGTATTTCTTTTGTTTCTAATAGCTTTCTGAAGTTAAGTAATTCTGCCGTACGGATGCACTTACTTTTCTCTCGCAGATAGGTGTGCAGAAGGTCCTCTTCCTCATCGTAGTTTATGATGGCCAGTGTGCAGTTGGCCAAGTAGAAGTCGGTCAGCAGATCGTCAAAGACGATGTAATCGTTGTACTCCACGGTGGCGTACAGCATACCGCGAACTGACTGTGTTTCCTCGTCCAGATAGTGATGGAAAATGCTGAGGAAGCGCCGCTGCTCAACATTCACCCACATCTCAAAAGCAAGGGAGAATGGCTTCTCGGAGGTGAAATCGCGCGTGATTTCACCAATTTCCAGAAATTTTGAAGCGTGCATCTCGTTGATCAGCGCGTCGATTTTGTGTGGCTCGGGCATGGGTGCCGAATTGCCTAGGAGCTGTCGCAGAAATTCGCTAAAACCAACGTCGTACAGAGAGTCCACATTGCGCAAATCCTTAATCACTATGTCCGTAAGGGCTTCGCCCAGATTGGCGATGTTCGCCGCGGCGGTATAGCCGCCTTCCTCGTGCTTAATGGATCGCCCGTGGATCAGTGTACTTGAGGGAGTGGCCACTTTACGCTTTCGTCCGTACTTTGGTTCCACAACCAGGCGCTCCTCCTCCTCTACCAGATTTTCGGCCTCGTCGTAGGTGAACGGCACCATGGTCTCGTACAGCATGGTTTGCGAGGAGGCGTCCTCCTCCGCCTGCATGGCTGCAGTTGCCACGGCTGCTTCGTCCAATTCCTCGTCGGAGGCGTTGTCGTGGTTCCGGTTATTGATGAACTCCAGCTTGACCCGCCGCGAGGAGACATTTCGCTTGGACAGCGGTGGGTGGGTCACATTGCGCGGCGTCTTACGCGGCGGTACATGGATGTCGTGCTCCTGGCACAGTTCTTTGAACAGTTCCTTGTGTCGGTGCTGGAGATGCGCCCGCAAATTGGTGGTGTTGCCGTGGTTGGTCAGCACCTTGTGACACTTGATGCAGACGACGTTCTGCTTGGTGATCACCTCGTTGTTGTCGTTCGAGGGGAATCCAAAGTAGCGCCAGTAGACGCTCTTCATTTTCGGCGAGTACAGTTTGGAAAAATTTAGCTGTGACACATCCTCGTACTTGAGCTCGCCAATGGCCACCGGCGACGCGGGTACCTCTTCGCCCATCTTGTCTTCTGTAGGAGATTGGGATCGGGACCTGGTTATTTGTTTTGATTTAGATTCGACAACGATTGCTGGGCCCAATGCGGGAATTAGCGCGCAATTTCTCGATTATAGATAGACGGTTCAATAGTCAATAGTTTTTTATCTGTATCAGAGGTACAGTTTAGAGTTGCCACGCGACACACCGTCAATCGATAAGGCAATAAAACGTTGCTAAATGCACGAAATGCACTCTCAATTATCTAATATTATTTCTACAGACTGCTAAAATATGAGCGTCACCGCTTTATATTTTTAATACGTCTGACTCTCGTGAAAAATGCGATTTGTTGAGTATTCTCGCTAACACTGATTGCATCACCAATCGATAGCTGGGGAAATTTCTCGCTCGGCCGGGGGAATTTTACGAGGGAAATTTTCGTTTGGCCTGCGACGTGAAGTTGGTTGCGATTTCCTTTTTAATTCGTTGTTGGGAAGAAAAGGTGTGTAAATTTCATGAGCGTCCCGAAATTCAATGAAAATAAAAGATAAACGAAATGCAAATTGAGCCATCGAGTGTGCCAAGCGTAGAGATCACAAGTGGGCTTCATTGGCCACCCGTAGACGTGGAGAAGTGCTCTTTAATTACGGCTAAAACAAACGAAATGAGCCAGCCACGTGGGCCTGCAGCTTGGTTATACCGTATTTACGGATTTACATACAGACATTAATGTTATTATTGTGTTTTCGCCCTTTTTGCAGCCAATCTAAACCGCCAAGATGGGTAAGGGTAACAATATGATTCCGAATCAGCACTACCACAAGTGGTGGCAGCGGCATGTGAAGACCTGGTTCAACCAGCCGGCCCGCAAGGTCCGCAGGCACGCGAACCGCGTCAAGAAGGCCAAGGCCGTCTTCCCCCGCCCCGCCAGCGGTGCCCTGCGCCCTGTGGTCCGTTGCCCCACCATCCGCTACCACACCAAGCTGCGTGCCGGCCGTGGTTTCACCCTGGAGGAGCTGAAGGTGAGTGGAGCATAAATATTGCCTTGATCCATTAGCCACTAACGAAATCTCCGCTTACAGGGTGCCGGCATTGGCGCTAACTTTGCCAAGACCATCGGCATTGCCGTCGACAGGAGGCGCAAGAACAAATCCCTGGAGTCCCGCCAGCGCAACATCCAGCGCCTCAAGGAGTACCGCAGCAAGTTGATCCTGTTCCCCATCAACGAGAAGAAGATCCGCGCCGGCGAGTCCTCTCTGGAGGAGTGCAAGCTGGCCACCCAGCTTAAGGGACCCGTCCTGCCCATCACCAATGAGCAGCCCGCCGTGGTCGAGTTCCGTGAGGTGACCAAGGATGAGAAGAAGTTCAAGGCCTTCGCCACGCTGCGCAAGGTACGTTTTTGGCTTTGTGATCGCCTTTAGCTCTTGATTCTTATTTGCCGATTTATATTTGCAGGCTCGCACTGATGCCCGTTTGGTCGGAATCCGCGCCAAGCGCGCCAAGGAGGCCGCTGAGAGCGAGGACGCCGCCAAGGGAGACCCCAAGAAGGCCAAGAAGTAAACCACATCTTAACCTGATCGTTCTGTCTACAACATCAACCAGAATAAAATCTTAGTTTTTCTTAAACGTGAATAATTGTGCACTTTGTTGTTCTTGTCGCGTTTGACGCGAGACTTATCGATACCCCGTAGTATCGTAGCAATCGATAAGTCGCTTCTGTGGCGCGTTTAGTTCAAATTGGCATGTGTGTGCCAGGTTACTGCGCCCAACAATCATCCATCATTTGTTGGTAGCTAAGGAAAAATAATTACTTTTAGCCCTTAAACATTCTTGGGGAACTGTATTCAATTGTAAATTCAGAACATTTCATAAATATTAACTTGATTCAAATTGAGCCTTTAGTTTTCTGCACATTTTGGTAATTTTATTAGACAGGATTGGTAAATATGCAAACAACTAAAGATAGTTCAAAAGGCCAAAAGGGAACATTTTTGACAGTAACATTTTGAAAAAAGAATACCATTTGAAAGTATGTTTTTCGAATAAGTAATAGGTTATGCCTCTTGAACCTTTGTAGTTTGCAAAAGCTGTT